ACGTTCTTGTGTTGTTGCAAATTTTCGTCGCAAACTGCTTTAATTTTTCTACGAGAATTCTACTATCGTAACTTGCACCGATTTCCTTGCTATTATACTACCGAAATCTTCTTGATCACATTTGTAATCATTGCTGTTATCTAAATCGAGATTTTACTGTCAAATTCCCTCCTCAAATCTCTCGGTTTTTGTTGGAAATTTCGTCGTGAAATTACTATTTCTTTGACGACAATTCTGCTCTTACAAAACAGCCACAAAACAAGCCTAAACCGCAGCCTACATACACTAATCCACCAACCCTTTCGGCCACCACTTCTCTCAACCGATACATGCCTTTAACCCGACAACAAAAGAGAGATCTTAACATTACAGATTTGGAGGCATATATTATGACATCTGAGGAGGCAATCAATGCTAAATTCAAAGCCTTCGAGACGCGAATGAAGGATAAGATTCAAACTCTCTTTACTGAACTCAGTTTGGGCCGACCACCGAGCCCGAAGAAATCACATCAAGGAGAGAGCTCTGATCGAAGAGATGACTTCCAGGAGAGGGGAGGCTCTATGACCGATCCCTACTATCCACGCATGAGGGTGTACTTCCCTAGCTGGGAAGAAGAAGACCCGATTGGTTGGATCTCGCGCGTGGAGCAATATTTTCAGTACCACAAAATCGCGGACGCATCTATGGTGGAAATTACGGCTATACATCATGAAGGGGATGCCATACAATGGTTTGACTGGTTTAAATACACTTATGGAGTCCTCTCATGGCGACAATTCAAAGAAGGACTACTGATTTGCTTTGGACCAACCGATTACGAGAACATTGACGGACAACTAGTAAAGATTCGACAAACCTCTACCATTCAGGAGTACCAAACCAGCTTTGAAAGGTTATCTAATCAAACTCGTGATTGGTCTGAAAAATAGCTATTGAGGACCTTTATTGAGGGCTTGAAGCTGGAGATCCGGAGAGAAGTTAAAGCGCGACAAAAGCGCGACAACCGTACACGCTTATGGTAGCCATCTCTTTCGCACGACTTCAAGAGGAGCGATTGAACCATGAAGCCCGGAGAACTAGGGTCGCTCCCCGACCAGCAATATCGAAGCCCTCAGCCTCCCATACTGTCAGCCGAGCCCCTGCACCAAAAAGGTTGATAAGAGAAGAGCTTCGTGAGCGATCTACGAAGGGGTTATGTTGGCATTGCGATGAGCCATGGAGCCGCAAGCATCGTTGTAAAAAAGTGTGACTTCTTGTGATTGAACCAATAGAAGAAGAGGTCATGAGAGCCTTGAACATGAAGAAGAAGATGCGGAAGAAGAGCCACAACCAACCGACTTTATGGTACACGCGCTAGCCGGCTACTCAAACCCGCAAACGATGAAAGTTGGGGGGTCGGCTAGGAAGCCCAAAGGCCCAAATATAAACCCTAGCCACTCTTCTTTATAGGATAGAGGCGGCTAGGTAGGGTTTATTACAATCTCACAGGGCTTTTATTAGCTGCTTCTTGGTTGAGTAGGACCCAACCCTACTAGGGCTGAGGTTTGTCCAAATCAGCCCGCCCTCTCCAAATCAGCCTTGTCCTCAAGGCTGAGGTTCCATGAACTCAGGGAATCGGGTCATCAGCTCCTCATATGATTCTCATGTGGCATCTTCGAGTGGTAAATTATTCCAATGCACTAGTACTTCAGTAGAGGGACGTCAGCGACGTATCACGATTCTGCGGTCGAGGATGGCTTGTGGTTGGGCTTGAATATCTCCATCATCAGTGGTGTTGGGCAGTTGGATCTGGGGTGACTCGTGTTCTCCTAACTTGGGCTTCAAGCATGACACGTGGAAGATAGGGTGAATTTTGGCATCTTCAGGCAATTTAAGTCTATATGCCACGGCTCCAATACACTCTGTGATATGATAGGGCTCATAAAAACGTGGGGATAACTTCATAGAGGCTCGTGTGTTAATGAAGAGTTGCTTGTATGGCTGTAGGCGAAGATAAACCCAATCTCCTATTGGAAATTCTCTTTCGCTTCATCGTGTGTTGGCTTGTTGCTTTATTTTGGCTTGAGCGGTAGAGAGAGTATCCTTTAGCAGCTGTAGGAGTTTGTCCCTGTGAATTAAATCTTGGTCGACCTGATCTATCTTGGACGAGCCAATTACATACTTTGGAATCACAGGGGTCGGCCGACCATATAGTGCTTCATATGGGGCACATTTTGTAGATGAATGATATGTAGTGTTATACCACCATTCGGCCTAGGGAAGCCATTTCGCCCACTCCTTTGGCCGATCACTAGCGAAATACCGAAGGTACGTCTCTAAACACTTGTTCACCACCTCTGTTTGGTCGTTAGTTTGTGGATGATATGTTGTACTTATCTTGAGTTTGGTGCCCTGTAACTGAAATAACTCGGTCCAAAACTTACATAGAATTCCTCTGGGGTTCTATCACTTTATTATTCAGAGGAGTAAGCGGTAGAGATGATGGAGAAAACGGTACAATCCGAAAGGTGACCAAAACTATTAGAGATTTGCTCCAAGTTTAGGTGAAAACTTCTTGCATTTCGAAAATTCGATGGCATTGAGAAGGTGAATCACAGTAGCTAACTCAATACAAGGAGTGCAAATACTTCGGGTGCTTCGGAAGTGTGAGCAAAGAGTAGGAGAAGGGTAGTAACTAGCTCAATGCATGGAGTACAACCCTTAAGGAGGCGGGCAAAGTCGATAACCTTTGCCTTCTCAACTCTTAAGAGAATAGGCGAAATCAAGTATCCCAATTCTTTTATTTATCTAGTAGAGGAGTTCTACATAGGTTCAAAGACTCTTCGAAGAAACCTAATAGAAGACAATAGTTATTAAATCCTCACCAATGGTGATCAGTGTTACTTAGAGTAGATTGTTTGCTTTATTTCCCAACAGAATGCCAATCGAAAACGGAAGTGATGCGAACCTACTTGGGAGTGACAACTAAGTGGAAGAAAAATCGATGGGAAATTTTTGCAGAAGGACCTAAAAATTTCAAAGTCTACGAGGCGATGCTCGTTAAAGCTCTAACAGGCATCCACCCAGTTCAAGCGACATGAGGCATTTGAGAGATTGACGCATAACAAGGAAAGTTTTTTCCTTTATATGAAGGATCCGTAGGAACAAACAAGGATCAATATAACTCAGCCAACCCCACACCAGAGTCAGAGTCATTGGCAAGTTGAAGCAGCACGACGGATCAAAGTTCGACTACTCAACAACAGCGGCAGAGAGCAACTTAGAGCCAAGAGGCACGTTGCAACTAGAGTGGAAAATTGAAGACTTAGTAAAGACGAGGAGATGCAGCGTTTGTAAAGGCTTCGACGAGGATGTCAAAGAAATAAGTGGGGGAGAATGTCATGGACAAAGTTGTAAATGGGGTGTTTAATGTAATGCTCATGTATGTTTGTATCTTTCAGTTTTATTTATATTTTGCAAAGCATGTAGAGGGCTTACAGTAGGCTTAGTAGCCTCATTTTGGTTGGTTGATGGCCGCTTTAGGCTTGTAAATGAAGGTTGTGTCATGTGGTTACTTATGAGGATTTTGATTTGTAGTGGACCATCTTGGATCCTTTGTTGTGCGTCTGTTCAGAGCTTGCGAAGTCTATGGTTGTAATTTGCATTAGCTATAAAGTGTTTGCTGAAATTGTTGCTTGTGGATCCCGAGTGAAATGCTTTCTCTAACCTGTTTTTTTTTGTAGGATTTAAGGGACCATAGAAGGTTTCGGGGAGGTTGGCCTTTGTGGACGAACACGTAAGGGTGCCGCATGACTTAAGCAAAACCAACTAAGTTCGTGATAGTTCGTCAAGGAAAATGCCACAACGATAAGATCTCATTGGAGGAAGACATCATCCTTGCTGTTGCCATTCGTCGATGGAGAGGAAGACAACCGTCGTTCACTAAGGAAACACCGCAATCACTGGGGAGAAACGTTCCATCGCATTGTTTTTAGGGCATGGGTGCATGCACATGCAAAGGGGGAGGGGGATGTTAGGGTGAGATTGTTCTCATCTAGTTCAATTGAACCAGCGATCCAAATTGGCTTGACTCAACCTGAGTTGAATCAGGGGGGCCAATGCATGGGCCTAGGAGAGGGCATGGGCCGCACATGGTTGAAGTTGCCCACCCAGCCCATTTATTGGATGCTCGGGCCTTGCCTCGCCTTGCGTAAGCACTCGATGACTTCACTGCTATGATGAGATTTCCTTATCAAGATGAAGTACAAGGAAAGCAATGGGAAGTGGGAACTCCCTAATAGTTATTACATATTCCTGTATTTGTTTTTTCTTAATCGGAGACCATTAAGTATTAACTGAATCACATGCTTTTAACAAAACTTAACAAGCCAAACATGGGTTCGCTAGATAACATAGCAGATAACAAACATTGGGATTATCATGCACATCCATGGATTGATAAAAATGGTACTTAGATGTGACTGTTTTTGAGTAATAAAACCATTTACAGACTTTGGTTTCAAATTAGAGATGCTGGGAACTGATGGTATGTTGATAAAAGCTTTTTCATTTCTTTCTACCCTTCAGAGAATTTTATTTATTTCGTCAGATTCATAGGCCAACCAGTAAGACATACTGGTTTTTCTTGATGGAGAATTTTATTTGCTTCATCAGATTCATAAGCCTTAACCAGTGAGACTTACACTATAATGATGATGCTTGCTTGAGGGATTGAATAGCGGTACATCAGCATCTTGAAAACTTTAGCAATTTCGGTCTGGCCATGACAATATTTAGTTATGGTGGATATTGCATATGCCAGTTCTTTGATAATTGTTTTTTCATGAAATCTAGTAGTTGAAAGAGAGGGATTGCAGAGTCTTATTATGGTGATTTACCCAATCTGATAGCACTGCCATATTTATTTAATCCATGATTGTCGACAAATAGCATAAAATTAATATATCTTTTTTTTTTTTTCTGGCTTACTGGATTGTTCATATTAACAAACATTTCAGGGAGTTGGTTTGAGAGGTTTGAATAGTAAAAGGCAAATGAAGATCCTATTAAGGTGGATGAGGGAGAGGCAAAAACTGCGGCTAATCTGTAACCATGACGGACCACACAAGCAATTTCTTTATACCACTTGGTTCACTAATCCCAGAACCATGCCACCAAGGCCAAGAATGGGATCTTCTGAGCCATGAGGTTAGGGAAATTTAATTCATATGTACTGTTCATTTCCCCAATGACTAATTTTACGATTGCTAGGATTTATCAACTGTTCAGCTCCCTTCAATCAAGACATTTTGGGCAGTTGATTTCTGTACAAAACTCCCAGATTTCTCAACTTGCTTAGAACTGTGCCCTGTGCTGGAATTGTAAGTTTTCTGTAGCTCTCAGGAAAGTGTTACAAATTTTTGTTACTGTGATTTGAATATTATTTTATTTGACTTTTCTCCTTTCCTGCATAAAACAACATTTAACTTCTCAGATTGCATGAAATTCTTGTGATTCTTCTTATGATAGCTCAGTTGCTTTATTTGAAACTACACGCTATAATATTAAAGCTGTATCTAGGCATATCTGAATTTCAAATGATTGCTTGTAGGATATTAACTGTGCTATTGGATGCGTGATAAGATGATAACTTCTTGTCTAACTGTTAAGCACGATTGTTGCCTTTACCCAAACAAATAAACAGACCAACAAGGCATCTCTGATCAGCTGAAGGTGAGTTACATATAACAAGGCATAGTCAGAACTGCATTGGAGACTCCTGAGGTCAAGCTTATCTCACATATGTTGAGATATTCTATCAATCACTGGCCTATGGTGGGTGCCTGTGAGATCAACCTGCCTGACTAGTGGTCTTTCTTATGTGCTTATTTTGCATAAAAGTTGAATGATGTAGTTTGCTGCGGGTACATAATTCCTAAAAAATTGGCTAGCTGATTTCCTAGTGTAGCCTTTATGTCATCCATATGATTGTGGTGAAAGCAGTATTTTGTATTACATGATAGAGTTAATTTTGGTTGGAGGTAAACCAAATATGACAATTATCTGGAAGAATTGAGCAACATTCACCAAAAGAAGATACATGAAGGCAAACAGTTCCGAATTGTTTGCCGTCGACAGACTAGCTTGCAAATCAGTGATACTGAGCTCTAGCACGTGTCAGTTTCTCCTGATAAGATGTTATGAATTGTGCTGTCAACGACACCCTTGCCACCTTCAGGGTCCTTGAAAAAGTCTTTAAATACCAGTTAGACTGGTGTTTACTGGTATTAGTTCAATTTTTTATATAACATGAATTTTTTATTTTTAAAATTTTGTTTCAATTTTACAGACTGCACAATATGTTACTGAAATTGGTGCCTGATTTGACTTATTGAATATAAAACCTTGCTCTAACGGATTTGGTCAGATCTTGAAGAAAGTGGCAGGTTAGTACTAGGAGATGCGACTGTTAATATCGGACCTGGAACGAGTTGTATCAGTTTGTACCGAATAGTACAGGTTTATATGTTACGGTAGGTACCCTATATTGGACGGTGCAACTCTAGTATCAAGCATAGTGGCCCATTTACTCTGGTCTGCGCATTAATAGGCTCTTCGATTTATGATTGACTGAACCACCTGGGGAAGTTTCTATGTTTGCTAACAATTCTATTAGATATGTAAATTATCTTGCCACATGATTCTTCACTTTTTGTGGTGTTTTATAGTATAAATATTAGATGGAGGGACAAGAGCCTTCATCTCTGTGGTGCTAAACAAATATCAGAGGGAAGAACCTGAATCAGATATAATATATTCAAACTCCTCAACCATGCAACGAGGACAATGGAAAAGCGACTTGGGCCACGGTAGTTTTCCATGTACACGACTCCGTCTCGTGAAGGGTTGTAGGCATTTTTGCACAAAGCATGACCCTAAAATTAGGATATTCACTGCAATAATCCGTACTAATAATTAAGGTTTCCATTTTTCATTCCAAATTGAGATGTGAAGTAATTTAGTTAATATTAATGACAAGGTTCAAGATCTAGTTCTATCATCACACACCCATTGTCTATATATATACACAAATATATATATATATATATATAAATATATATATATATATATATATTTATGTATATATATATATATATATATATATTTATGTATATAAATAT